AATATAAATATATTGAAAACTAAGATTAGAGCAGAGAAAAAGGGACTGGAAATAAATGACTTCTTTTTGAAAAATGAGATATAAGTACATAAATTTCTCTACCCTTTTTGAAAAATGAGATATAAGTACATAAATTTCTCTACCATAATTATGTACCCATTTGACCTAATTGCACATATATTATTTTTCAACATACAAATGGTCAGACTGAATAATTTGTTTCCTTCAGCGTGAGGAAATCTGCAGTTAAAGGTTAATTTAAAAAAAAAAAATTTGCCACTTCACCAAACTCTTCTTTTATTTCAAGCCGGCAAATTAAGAAACGTGCTATTTCTAATTTAATACAGCTCATAATTGTTGCTAATACGTGATAATATTTTCTAATAACTTAATTAATTATGAAAAGTTAAAGATTAAAAAAATGTATTAGATACACACATCTTAGGTATGGAGTTTTCAAATTTTGCTGCAATGCTATCATAATCAATTTTTTTTGCATCATCTATTATCTTAATTAGTAATTTTTTTTTTTTTTGGTATGTATTAGGGATATTATTTTCGTCTACTTATAAAAAGAAAGTAGCAATCGTTGCTAAAAAGGTGACTGGCTGTGGAATAAAAAATGGAAAAATTAAAGTACGGCTCTATAGTAACGCTCGTTCTGGAATAAAAAATGGAAAAATTAAAGTACGGCTCTATAGTAACGCTCGTTCGTTAAACGCCACCTATGCTATGGTGGGCTAGCCAGTCCGGCCCATGATTTTGGGTCATGACATTAGCAAATTGGAAGCTTAAAAAATGTAGCCTTAAAAAGAAGAAGAAGCAACGTAGAAGAATCTGGACTTGTAGCAATAATCTCTGTGAAATGATATTTTGACAGATCATCTGGACCAAAAACTGCATCGTTTTAGAGAAGCATTGCATCTGGTTTTGGATGCAGCTCCCATTTTATTATTTGATTATTTCTTTTTGCATGATATGGGTGGTGGAAATCAGCTTTTCAAGACTAAGTTGTGCAAATGGGTTAAGTGGACCAATCCCTAGCTAACTATGAAGCACTATATAAACGAATCAAAGATAGGATTGAGAGGTTGGACTCTCTCGGCACCTAGTTGTGCCGCACGAGGAGAGAGCAAATTAAGAGTAGGTAGCCTCACAAAGAGAGACAGTAGATGATAGTGTTGTTACAATATAAAAGGAAGCAAAGGGAGAGTGGCTAAGTGCCAAACCTTGGACGTGGTACATGCAAGAGCAACAAAGCAAAAAAACTAAAGTTTGATTTATTATGCCCTTTATTTCTTTTGTGCATTTTAGTTTGGTTGATATATTTGTAATAATGCTAGGCTAAATATCTAGATCTAGTTATGGGATTTTTCTCTTAGTTTAAAAGCAACCTTGAATAGTTTGATTTACATTTTGTATGCCTATATTTTCCTGATTTAATATGTGTGAACTTAATGCCTGAGAATATTGATGGCCACATGTTTGCATGATATTAGACTGACTTGTATGATTGGAAAATTGACTTGTTAGTCAAATCTTATGGGTTAAACCTAGAAATTAGACCTAGGGATAGACTGAATTTCTTCGAGGGCCAAAGGAATAGCACCAACTCATCGGGTTTCAATCAATGTAGTACTATAAAAGTAGGTATCATTTTGATTCTAACACGTCCATTTAGCCTTGAAAGAGGAACTTGAATAATTCTGGTTAGTCCTCTTTCAAGAATAGGTATAGTCCATTTAAATCAATTGTTCATGGTTTGCACTCGAACTAATAGAGACTAATGCAGATGAACGAATCCTTCAAGGATAGGAAGCCGCAGCTTTATACGTACGAGGAGATCCATATGTGATCCGTAGCTACATTGTCTCAACCATTTAATTTCTTGAATTTACTTTTGATTATCTCCATTGCTATTTTTAATTTGTATTTTCTTTAATTTAATATGCAATTTAGTTTAATCATTATTCCCTATATTGCATCTTCCTAATAATTGTTGAATATTGAAAAATTAACAGCCTATTCCCCAATCCCTATGGATTCGACGATCCTTTTCTATATTACTTATATGACCTGTGCACTTGCAGAGCACATTTCCAGTCAAGTGAACAAGTAACAAATAGCAATTACCAAGTATTGCATTTATAGCATTTAACTATGTATCAGAAATGCAAAATGCAGGTAAGTGATGCGAATTATTTAATACTATTCACCTGGATTTTGTATTGCAGTAATCCTAATTAGAAAATTGATTAATCTTCTTGAAACACAAATTAAAACAACAAAAAAACCATGGAAGAGGAAACCATAAATCCACCATATCATTATATAAACAAAATTCAGTTATGTAATAGTAACATTTTGAATCACAAATTAATTTCTATACCTTTTAATTTTCATATTTTCCTTTAATCCAAACATAAGAGTATAAAATAATAAAGAAAAATATCAATTTTTTTCCTTTATTTTCCCTCGTTATTTTCCATTTTTTTTCTAATCCAAACATAGTATAAAAGTTAAAATGTCCTTTCCAAAAGAATATCAGTTGCCCAAATGAACTAGTTTTGATTATTAATTTTGTTTTTAGGAAGCTTGACACTCCCATTGCCTTCAAGAACCATGCACCGAAAAGAATTATTATTCTGCTGATTGTCAAAGTGCAATTAAGAAAGGCTATTTTATTATTTATTAGTAGCATGGATTGTACAAGTACAAGAGTCTACTTGTCAGCAGATCTTGTTATTTTCTGCATTTTTTCTCTACTGCCAAAACGATTAAGGTAATGTATGTATAAGTTAAAAGTCCTTTCCAAAAGAATAGAATCATGGTTGGACCGGGGTGATTGTTGCATTGGATTGAAACTTAGGTTTGTTGATTATTGCTCATTTTGTTTTTATGGAAGCTATTGTTAGCGACTCTCGAGCTATTGCTCTGTTCTATAGATAATCCTTTATTGTCGTTCGAGTTTCTTCCGAAGAATTATTTATCTGCCTTAATATGTGTCATATGGTGCAAGATTTGAAGAAGGCTAAGTTTTTATAGTATTTTATTAGTAGCATTGGATTGTCCAGCATATGTGAGAAGTTAGTCTTACTCTTGTCGCATATTCTGGTGTCGATTCTAGGTGAGTATTATGGTTTGGTGGTGTGGTTTGGCTTGTCTCGATAATTCCATATAACAGGTGTTGCACCATATTATTTGATATGCACATTATCACTCTCTATACTTGTATATGGTTTTTTCGCATAGTATCCTCTTCTCAGTAAATTTGCTCTATTATGTGTATCGGAGCTCGAGTGTTTTGATGACCGTCTAAAATCCAGCTTTTGTAGCTAAGTGACTTCACATACGGCATCCTATCTTTATCGTTCTTATTTCCTTATTCAGCAAATTGATAACAAGCATAATTAAATATAGCTTGTTAAGGAAGTGAGATTACTTAGTCTCTTCTTCATTAGTTCATCTTTCAGAATCTGTTTTGGGACTTTATACGAGTTTATGTATTGTTCAATGGTACTAATTATTTCTTCCATCATCTTTGTTTGTCCGGCATCGAGGTGCATAGTCATAGCATTGGTTCGTCTCAATAGCTTCTAATCCTAGTTACGTGGTCATTTCTTTCTATCAATTTATCTGTGTAAGCTAATATATCGTTGTGATTTTATGGTTCGCAGAAGGTACACTTTTTGTTTTTAGGTGACTCATCTTTTTGTTGCTTGAGATTGTTGGGGTTGGTTATTTTTAGTGTAGAGTTTACTTCTTTATGATCTGTTCTGTTGTTGTTTTTTATTGTTCGTACTGAGCTTGAGTTGTTGCACATTTGTTACTTAGTGGTCTGGGAGGCTTCCTTTTGAGAAGCAATTCAACATGTTTCCATGAGCAATTGAGTTGAAGAGATTGGAGTAATTAGTAGGTGGCAGTTATAAGTGAATATTTTTGCGAATCTTATGTTGAGATAATTGGTGAGTTGCACTTGAGTCCCATATATAATTGTTTTTATTATTCAACTATAATTGTATTGTGTCAGATGCAATTCAAGTCTTTACCGTATTACTAAATTTTTGTTTCAAAGATAGACAATGATTGCTTCTGCCTGATGTTTGGTGATTTCGTTGTGAAATCTTCGCTATTACTTATATCATCTTTATGTAGGTTTTGAGCACTATGTTGTGGACGGTATTATTTTTTGTCTGCACTGCTTATTGGGTTGTTTTGGTTGTTTTTGAATCTGTATGCTGTGTGATGTTTCTTTTTTTATTTTGGTTTTTACTGAGTTTTTGGCTTTTATTGTTGTTTTTTTAGTAAGGTGTTGGGGTAGGAGGCGTTAGGTTATTTTATTGTGGGTTGTTGGCGTAGCTGGTGTGGTGGGGGGTTGCTGTGTTTGGGGTGGTTTGGCTGGTGTTGGTTTGTTGATTTTGGGCGTTTCGTTGGCGATTGCTTTGTGTGCTTATTGGTTTTGTTTTTTTTTTTTTTTGCATTTTGGTGCGGTTGCTTTAGCGGATTTGTTTGTAGGGCGACGTCGGTTTTTCTTTTTTAGACTTTTTTGCTTTTTGTTTTTTTTTTTTTTTTCTTTTGCCTATAATCCATAGCAGCATTCATGTACGTAATGTTGTTATTTAATTTTACATAAATTTCTAATGTCGATAAATTTTAGTTGTATTAAGTATTGGAATTTATTAAAGTCTTATTTGAATACTTCACTGCTTTTCTCTTCTGTATTTGAATGTTTTTGTTTTAGTTAACTCTTTAGGCTTGCATTTCTGTATCTTGTTTTTGAGAGGTATAGTTGATGATATCGCCGGGAGGTGCCATATAGTTTCATTTAGGTGATTAGACTCTTGAGAGGCAGTCGAAGTTTTGAGGTCCAGCTTCGATTTTGGCGTATTAGTGAGGCGTGTTGTTTACGAGGTGATTCATTTTGTATATGACGGTCGATCTTGCTTAGCCCTCCTCCACATCAACCAAATACTGTTTTGAGGACTATTTCTTGAAGCCTTCTATACTTTATGCGTGAGAGATATTCGGTCCCGGATAGAAGAAGACTGAAGTGCGTAATGTAGGTTTTTATTACATTGGCTGAGTTTGTTGAAGATGTGTGTTTCTTGATTCTTGAAGCCTTTATACTTATCTAAGATATTTTCCATAAGAAGACGAGTCAAGTTTATCATTGCTTTGTTGAAGAGTTCATTGAATTGGGGAAATTTGGCAGTATATTCATACACGTGCATTTCATGGACCCTGTTAAATGGAACTCCACCTTCAAGAACTGCATCTTCTAGGCCATACCTGCACACTCAAAGAAATAAAAACTAGGCATATATATTATCTTGGCAAACCAATATATTTAATAATTTATTGTTTTTTTTTATTACTGATTACTTTTTAATTGAAGTCTGAATTTATAATTCCCAATTATTTTGCAAATGTTTCCAATTAGTCAATAACACTATAGCAAAGCATAATCGTAAAATTCATCGGTACTTCAAATATATTTTCAACTGACCAGCTATCCATGAAGGCCTTGCAGTGTAGCAAATGCATTGGAGGAGCGAGCGACGTGTTTCCTTCGCTGTTCAGAAAATATTTGGAAATGGGTGCTAAGCCATAGAGCCAGTTTGTGCTGTTGTTATCACCATCTAGCTTGTTAACAGAATTGGTGCAAGTAACTACAGAATAGCTAGCAAGAAGGCGTAGGATGCGATCCACCATTTGTGATGCTTGTGAATTTTTAGTAGGTAATTGTGATGCAATCTCTTTAGCAGAGAGATATGCTCCCATGTCTTTAAGTCCATAGAGCCAAGGTCTTTGTGCTGTTTGGGATTCATTCACTCATCGGGTTAGCTTTTGTTAACTTTTAGAATTGGTGCAAGAATTCTTTGACAGAGTATATTAGTCTAGTCTAATGTAAGGCGTAGTGTAGTCGATTGTCGCACGATTTATGTGCTGTTTTTAGTTTTGAGTTTTTTAGTAGCGTGTTGGTTTAGGTAGGGTTATTGTTGATGCTCTCTTTCAGGCAGAGAATTATGCTGCCATATGGCTGCTTGCTGGTAATTTATAATCTGATGTGAGTTCATGTTAGTCGTTCGGAGTACTTTCATTAGGTCGCGTCATTGGTTGGGAGAAGTCACACATGAGAGGCACATTGTTATGATATATTTTCGTTGCGATAGTCGGGTAGTTCATATGGTCGCGGGCTCTATCTTCTTCCGTTGTTAGTCTCTTTGGTGGTTTATAGGATAGTTGTTTCTGCTCAAGAGATTCATTGAACTTGGTTGGCCATGATTTATGGGTTGTTTTAGAATAAGTGAGAAGGAAGTAGTGGGAATGGGCGCACCACATATAAGGGCGTTCGGATCTGGAACCACCTAAATTTAACTAATTGCAGCCGCTTTTTTAACAATAAATATTTCAATTTTTGAAAATTAAGATAATTTTATAAAGTGCTTTGATGGATGGTTGATCCGCTTTTATTATTAGCCACATAATTAAACGTGATTAATAAATCGCATAGCGTAGTTCAAATCCTCTTCTTCTGTACCTTGAGTGGTATACTCTCCAAGAGATTCAATTGAAGCCATGAGTTTATGTTGTTTAGAATGAATGAGAAGGAAATGGAATGGGCGACACATATAAATGTTCGATTGAACACCTAAATTTAACTAATTGCACCTTTTTTACATAAATATTTCAATTTGAAAATTAAGATAATTACTAATTTACCCTTTTATTTTACCAAAATTAACTATAATAATCCTATATTTTAAAAAAAGAGATGATTTTATACCTCCATCCAAATATACTTTTCTTACTACTTATATTTTTTTAGTTTTTCGTTAAACAACTTGGGGACAATTCCCATTGTATTCTTGTATTTTATTAAATTAATTATTGTCCTTCTATTTTTATTGATAAGATAATATATTTTTAAATTAGGACAAAGTGGTTAATTTTTATAAAATATAATGATAAAATAGTAAGCATTTCTAAGGCTTCTTATAATATAATTGGACGAAATCAAATTTCAAAAATAAAATAATCTATTTGAAAATACAGATATGAAGTAATTAATTATGCTAAGATTTTGAGAAAAATAGTAATTATCCCTTGAAACTTTAGTTGTTGTACCTAAAACGAAAGTTGCAACTCGAAAATTGAAGCACTTAATCTCAATATGATGCAAAAAGTCGACAGTGAAGAAGAAAAATAATTAAATAAAATTATGAATTTATTCAATAAAATTAATTATTTTGATAGCCGTTAGATATATTTTAGTAGCGTTTAGTTGTTAATAGCTTTTTATAAGATGTTGAAAGTTAAATTTTATATAATAACTTTTTATACTATGCTGCCTTAAACTAATTTTTCATAAAACGTTATTTTTTATAACTTTTAAAAGTTAATTTAACCGATATTCTTAAAAAAAAAAAAAAAAGGTTGTTAGGACCACATTCTTTCGTTAAAGCTAGCTAAAAAGATGGTGGGTTGTTAGGACCACACTCGTTCATTAAACGCCACCTATGCTATGGTGGGCTAGCTAGACAAGAAAATAGGGGATTATTAGTTATGGCCTAATGTATTAAAGTAATTCAAGCTATCCAGAACCCTTTTTTTTTTTAATTTTTTCGTCAACTAAACTCTTCAAAACAATGCCATTTTATGTTCGCAAAAAACTCCTAATTTTTCTCTTTCTTCGCTCTTTTTATATCAAAAGAAATAAGATAAATCCTTTTTTCATGATTTAGCCTTTCTTTTCGGTCTCTATCCCCTTTGTTTCCAATATTTTGGCTGCCTTTGGTTTTTGAGCCAGTCTTAATTGCTCAAATGTGAACTAGCTACAGGTTACAAAGTACAAATTGATTTTGTAGTAAAAACATATACTCCTTAGATGTGTTGTGTGTGCAATCTATTCTCTTCTCAAAATATTGTTTTACCTTAGATTCGATAGGAATCGTTCGATTCATTCATGAATCATACGATTCTGACAACACTGGTGTTGTGTACTTATAGATTTGCGCAATTTTCGTTCCTATAGATTTTGTTATTATATTTAAAGGAGAGAAAAAAATAGCTATAAAATGATACATGTTCAATTATTTTTTATTGTCTCTAGTGATAAAACAAGGAAAAAACATAAAAAGAATGAGGTTTACTTTCCTAATCGGGTCCATGGTTCATCCGTAGACTAAATTAATGAAAATAAAATTTTTATTCAAACAAGTAAGTGATGCGGAGCAACTTGCATTTCAATATATGGAAGACTTGGATCGCTGCAAACCCAAGAAGAAGGAGCACAACCGTGCCATTTTCAGCACGCCCGTGCCAATCTCAGAAGTCCAGGGCACGCTCGTGCTAGCCTCTGGAAGTCCAGGACGCGAGACACGCCCAAACCTAAAAAGCACATGCATGCTCGTGTCACTTTCCAGCCCTCCCATACTAGCCTCTGGAAGTCCAGGACACGCCCGTTCCGTGCTAAGCACGCCCATGTTGACGGGTCCAGTTACGATTCGAACATAGACATGCCCGTGTCACTTCTAGCACTCCCTGTGCCAACCTCTAGAAGTCTAGGACACGCTCGTGTCATGTCAAGCACGCCTGTACCGCCACCCTTACTGGGGTTTTGTCTAATTACGAATTTTTTATTATTTTTTTAGGGTTTTATGTTTAGCCTAAACCTATAAATAGGTTATTTTGTTATTATAAAGCATTCATTATTGTTGATCATTATCAATAAACTTCTTTGAGAGTTTAGTTCTCTATTTTATTCGTCAGATCAAATGTTATTAATCAAAACTCTTGACGGAGTATAATCATTTTTTCCCATTCACATAACCGTTCTGCGTCAGTTGGTATCAGAGCCGAAAGGAAAAGTATCTCCATGGCCGAAAATCATGAAACATGAATAAAAGCCATAAAGGCGAAGTTTGAAGAGTTAACCGAGCAGATTAGACAGTTGACTCTCGCAACCCAACAAGGCAACCCACAACCTGCAGTTGCAATAACAGTTTCAAATCTGCAGCAATAAGATTATGCAAGATGCCAAAATCGTTATGATGGAGGCCTAGATTACAGAGGCAATGGTTAAAATTTTCACGATGAATACAAAATAAAGGTAGATCTTTAACCTTTCTCAGGATCATTAGATATTGAAAGCACTCTTGATTGGCTAGCAGAGGTAGAGAGATTCTTTGAGGTCATGAATGAAAATCGTTATGAGGTGCTGGCCTATAGTATTACATTGATTGGCTTTGTGTGTAATTATACTTTTTCATCGTGATGAATACATAAATGGGAGAGGTTCGTAGATCTGTGATAATCCTTTTTTCTTCACGCTTGGATGCGATTTTAGATTATTGCGTAGCTCGTGAGTTGTCAGCAGAGGTAGAGAGATTCTTTGAGGTCATGAATGTTGAGAATTGAGCCGTAAAGTTTCCAATTGTGACGCTCTAAACTAAAAGGCACGGTGCTGTTTATATATGTGTGGCATTCCTTTCAAACGATGCCATCGTTCGGAGAAGGATTGATACTGTGGCAAAAGTTCGGATTTTTTAATGTAAGATAGGTGATTTTGATGCTATTGTTTTTTTGTGTGCGTTTTTTCCTTTCCACAATGTACACTCCTCCATAATACTGTATGGTTTCTATATTGGTGGTTAGCGGAGGATATCCAATGAACTAATTGGTTTGCGGCAGGGGTGAACGCGGATAAGGTACGTCTGATGAGTACAAGGAAGAGTTCTTGAGATTAACGGCTTAATTGCAATTGCGAGTATTACTCAATCCGTAGCTAAAGATCTTTATTGGGTTCTATTTTTAACTTTTTATTTTAAGTAGTGATTATAGATTTTTAGTTTATTAATTTTAATAATTTGTTTTATTAATTATTTGTCATGGGTGGCCTAACGGATATACTATACTATAGAGGTAGTTATGCGTAGAAGAAGTAACTTGACTGAGGTGGATTATGACGTTTAGTTTATTAATTTAATATTTGTTTTATTAATTTTGTCATGGGTGGCTAACGGAAACTATTCACAAAGAAGAGCAGAAGAAGAACATGATGAAGTTGGATTAGAGCTGACACGATCAGGAGAGTGATGAAAAAACTTTGAGCCAAGAAGCTAACTAAAGTGAGGTGATGTGGCGTACTTTTTACTGCTACAATCATTCTCTCTTGTATGTCAGCATTCCATCAAATCTCTAACGGAATGGCAAAACTGACATATATATTTTTTTGAAATGTCAATTAAAATTTATATATATTTGCGTAAGAAATTAAGACTTAAGAACACCAATGTAATAGGGTCTATTGTCCAAAGACCATAAGCAAAATTAAGCCGAGCAATCACTAGTCTTTCTTTCTATCTTAAGGCAGTTATCATATTTTCTATCCATACACTAAAAATAGAAAATTTCAAAAAGTTAAACACTAAATTTATAATTATTCTTACATATTAATTAATCATTGAAAGTTTAATCCTATTAAATTATTTAATCATTTTGTTTAAAAATTACGTTTTCACGGTTAAAATAGCTTATAATATATGACTATTTGGTTCTTCACATCAATACAATATTATTATGTAATCACTCATATTTAATATACTACTCTCTCACATTTACTATTTGCATAATCATTTAATGGCAGAGATGATATTTTTAAAGTGAAAATAGTAAATATCAACGAGGCTAAATTTTAAAGCAGAAAAGAGGAAATTTAATTATGAAAGACCAAATAGTTAGTATTGCCTATGCACCACTACTTTTGATATTGAAGCATG